GTTGCCATAGAAACTGAGGGCCCACAAGGGTAGGGGGAGAGGGCTCTGAAGACCTGGAACTACAAAGGAAGGCTGATTGATAGGTTTCCTGAACACTGCTTAGACATTTCTGTGCCATGAGCCTGATAACATTCATTTATTTATTAAAATACATGTTGAAACACCAGCTTGTCTCTGGCCTGAGCATTTCATTCTAATCTCTGCTGTTAAGGAATTGTTAACAATGTCTTAACAACAGATAGGAATGGAAGGCAAATCCCATTTGTAAGCCGGGTGCCATTTTTCTGGGGATGGTGTGTAAAGGGCATGCTGGGTACATAATTAGGCTAATTTGGTGTGATAGGTCATGTCAGTCTTCCCCATTGGACATGCATGGGTTTGAGTTAAAGGCACAGCTGATCCCCAGTAAAGACTCCTGTTCTGGGCTGCAAGGGGTTCCACCAGGACTGTGCCCAGCTGTCTCTAGCCTTCCATCTTCCATGTGCTAGTAGCCTGGCCTGTGCGCATAGCCATTTGTCTCTGCAAAGAGTGGTGATCCTTGGTATCCCAGGGTGATCCAGCCTGGGAGCTCCCCCACAGCTCTGGTAAAGACAGGCTTGATCTGAATCTGTCTTGCTACTTGCTAGTGTGTAGCTGGAAAAACTTCTTAAGCCTCAGCTGGCCTCTTGTTGTGAATGGGATCTGAAGGCTCAGGTGTGGAAGGCGTGGTTCCAATCCATGCCCAGATGTGTGGCTTTAGGAAATGACTGAGTAATGAGGGCTGTGGCCTCATCAGTGGATTTAGCCACTGATGGATTCATAACTTGACGGCATGATTGGGAGGTGGGGAAAGTAGGAGGTAGGCCCTGACTGGAGGAAGTGGGTCATTATGAGTGGCTCTTAGAAGGGTGTACTGTGTCCCTAGCCCCTTCTCCTTTTTCCTCCCCCTTCCCCCGCCCCACACAACCTCCAATGACTGTGAGGGTTTGCCACAAAGCAGACCGGATACCTCTGCCACCATGTGTTCTACTTCACCTCAGGCCCAAAACAATAGGGCCAGCTATGTTTTAAAGCCTCTGGAACCCTGAGCCTAAATGAGCCTTTCCTCCTACCAAGTATTTCTCTCAGGTATTCGTTACACAGCAAAGAGTTAGACTGGCACAGGCCCACTGATTCCACTCACTCATCTCAGATAGTAAGCAAGATATTCCCATTAACTTTCTACGCATCCAATTCTCACAAGCCGGTGAGATGAGAACTTCCATTCCACTTTGCAGAAGAGACGACCAAGGAATGAAGGGCCATGCCAAGGAGCCAGGCGCCTCATGTCTGTTATCCTAGCTACTCAGGAAGCAGGGACGATCTAGGGGTCTCGGTTTGAAGCCAGACCAGGTAGACAAATCTGAGAGACCCTTATCTCCAATCAGCAAGCAAAAAGTTAGAATTGAAGGTGTGGCTCAAGTGGCAGAGCACCAGCCATGAGTGTAAAAGCCAGGCAAGAGCTCAAGACCCTGAGTTCAAGTCTTGGTATCAGAATAAAGGAAAGAGGGAGAGAGGGATAAAGGGAAGAACAGTAGAGAAAAGGAGGAGAGGAGAAAAGAAAGACAAATAGAAATGAGAGGTCACAATAGCTTCTAGGGTTTGGGGAGAATGGAATGAGAATACATCTAAACTGTGTAGCTCCAAGCCTGCCCAAGTAGCAGGTGGTTTTCCGTTAATGACTGCAATAAAATTGATCGCTCTTCCATAAATATTCTTGAGTGTGTGCTGCTAATTGCTTTGTGCTTATTGCTGGTAGCAGTAGGTAACTGGTTACTCTATTAACCATCCACTGCTCCTCATGATCACACTCGCCTAAGACTGCGAATAATCTCTGAGCAGGTGGCGGTCCTTATGAGAACATTAATCCTGCCTCCAGCCCCAAGAGACAAGCTTCACTGTCTCAGTCTGCCACAAGGAAGACCCTGAAGCTCCTAGAAAGAATGCACCAGCTAGAGGTCACACATCTGGTTGCAAGCATCGCTGGGGTTTGAACCTATACCTTGATTGCTACCATGAAGTTACCTAAGTGAAACCACAGGCCACACACTGAGGTGGGTCACACATGGTCCTTTATTCAGGCACATGCTCCATGAATTCCCCCCGCACCAATATCCCTAAGTGAGACATTCTCCAGGCTTGGCTTGAACCCCTTAAGAGAAATCCCTGTTCAACTAAGGGCAGTTTCATACTTAGGAAATCCTTCCTTCGACTAAGCCCAAATCAGCCATGACTTCCCTAGTTTGAATCTCCAGGTTGATGTAGCTAGAGTATCTTTCCCCTCGATGGTCAAGTTCACCGCACATCAAAATCTGTCACCAGGTCCATGTTACCAAGGTTCCCCTTTGGATCATCAACAATTCATCTTCTCATTCACCTATCTTTTTAGTGACCTAACCATTCACAATGATTAGTTGGGGTCCTACTGTGCACCAGGTAAAACTCAGCCTGTTTGAGGAGATGAAAAACAATGCATTAGGCTGTAGAGAACAAAGACATGAGAGGGGGGGAGGGGGAGAGACAGAGACAGAGACAGAGAGACAGAGAGACAGAGAGAGACAGAGAGACAGAGACAGAGAGACAGAGACAGAGACAGACAGAGAGGACTCTACTCTGTCGCTTGTCCCTAGCTGCTCCCTCAGCTTCTTAAAAGCAAGATTAAGAGCAGGAGCAAGGTCCTGACTTGAGCCTACAGGTTGGACATAAATCAGGCTCATCAGTATTTCATCCAGACCCCAATCCCTGAAGACATCTATGTCTAGATGTGTGTGTGTCTGCCATTGTCATCTTACTTAAACTGACAACTGCTTTCCCCAATTCCCTTCCTTGTAGGCTTCCATTCTGAAACTGTCTAAAATGAGACTCTGTAAGGGATTTTGAAGATGTGGAGCCACAGTCACCACCTTCAGCAGGCCCTGGATCTGAAGAATGAGGGACAGATGTCAGCCATTGCCCCTGGGGAGGAGGGAGGGAGTGGGTGTTGGTGTGCGTCTCTAGCTTATCCTCACTCTCCCCAGGGCTGCACCTAGCTTACCTTGCCCTTGGCCCTGATAACCAAGAGCCCTCCTGGTCCAACTACTTCAGGTGGATATGGCTGGACTCCCATGTTTCTGACGTAGGTGGACAGTGGTGATGTCATCTGATGCTCCAGGCCCTTCGTCCACTTCCATATTGCTACCATCGGGCTTAGGTATAAAGTCTGATTCCTGCCACACATCCATGCACCCATTACCTCATCCGCATGACTGTGCTTTTGTAGGTAAAGCCTGAGCAACTAGGCGAGTAGCAGGGAGGGGAGAAGGAGAGAACTTCCAACCGAATTTCCAACTCTCTATCAAAGCCATTGTCAATTTCCTATGGAATGTCATCTGCTTTTCTGCCCATATTGGCCTCAAACCTGGATCTTCACAATCTCAGCCTCCCTGGTAGCTAGTATTGCAGGCATCACACACTGGCACCCAGCTGTTTTCCACCTCTTACCTCTCACTATCAAAAGAATAAGAAGAAAGTAGGATCACTGTGCTCATTCTTTCAGTAATTCTGGGTGGATCCTACCTCCATTCGGTCTCTAAGATGTAAGGGGAAAATTCCTCTTGGAGTATTTGAGAAGGCTTTATTTCCTGATAAAAGGGGCAGTTCCCTTCCTCCTGCCTTGAATATGAATGTGATAACTGGTGCTTTGGTAGCCATCTCTCACTTATAAGAATGAGAAGCTAACAGCTAAGAATTACTGAACCATTCTTGAGATGTGTCTTGATTTCGTGTGCTATTTTTCATCCATGTTTCTCTTAACTGACACTGGAGGTCTCTGGTTACCTTTTACAGATGGGGCCTCAAAGGTTGGGCATATTCCAACCATTCATGATGGCTCAAAGTGCATCACAGAGCTGGAATTTAGGACTCAAGTTCCTGACCTACCATCTCTCCTCAATACATCTGAAATCTCATTCTGATTTCAAGCCTGAGCCTATAGACTCCCTAAATCTTTCCCTGGCAGGCCAGTCTGTAGAGCACGCCTACCTCCCAGTCCTTACTTCCCCAGGTGCCACTCACGACAGAAACCTCAAGTGCACCATACCCCTTATGTTGGGTGCCCCTCAAGGTCAGAGAAGCCAACTCCATGGAGTGACGATCAGAGGATTCTTCTCCAGCCTGATCCCTTCTCCAGCCTGTTGAGTAACTTTGGGGAAAGTCAGGTCACCTCCCCGAGTCTCAGTCTCATTAATAATGAAGGTCATTGTGGGCCTTCGGGGATTAATGAGGACACTCTCTGTAAAGCAATTAAAAGAATGCCTGGCGCATGACGGACACTGGAAATGTTGGCTCCTGCGGGGACTGCCATGCACTGTGTTTCTGTATACAGTCTCCATGTGGGACGACGTGGCAATAAATAGTATGAGTTCAATAAGCAACTGTTCATAGAACGGTCCATTGACTAATTCATTAAGGGCTCACTGAGATGTCATTTCATCCCAGACAACGTGCTAAGTATTCAACCTCAAAGATTTTTTAAAAGTCAAGCCAGACATGGTGGTTCATGCCCATAATCCCAGCTATTCAGAAGTAGGAAATAGGAAGATTATAGTCTGAAGTGAGCTCCCAGGCAGAAGTGTAAGGCCTTATCTGAAAAATGATTAAAAAATAAAATAAAATAAGAGGACTAGGAGCCTAGCTGAAGAGGTAACAGTTTAAACTTCAGTACCACCAAAAAAAAAAAAAAAAAAAGCAAAATAAAATGCCCATCCTCTTGACACATGAAGAGCTAACTATAAGGCCACATGACCAATTCCATAATAAAGGGATCTCAGAGGAAGGCTTCGACAAGGCAGAGGTCAATTGCTGGCTCTCTGATGCCCTTTCTGTAAGGTCCGCTCCTGGATGGCGAGCAGACTTGACCCTCCTCGCAGCAAAGTCTCTGCCTAGTACCTGCATTACCTAGGCAACTGGCACACCTGGAAGAGGTCACATCTGCATCCACTGAGGTCACATCTGAATTCGATGTGGCCACACCTTGCCCCGCCCCTACCCTAGATAAGGCCAAGCCCAGGGCCAGACGCCCTCTTTCCCAGCTGCGTGGAGTGCTAACATGACCTGGGGCCAGCCTAAATGATGAATAAACCTACCCCTTACCTGAATACCACATGCGTGGTGTACTTCTTACTTGGCAATCTCTTTTTAAAAACCTAATACTTTCCAGACCTCAGATTTTTGTCATCTTGACCAGGTACATGTTATGGAAACATCAGGAAAGGGGGTAGCATTTGTGCACCTGAGCACAGCACTCGGAGTTGGGCCTATGATAATTGCTTTTACAGCTCAGGATTTCTGTCTGGAGGCTGGCGCTGAGGGAATCACAGCCCCTCTGTCAACCTGGCTTTCATTTCCATTCTGTAAGCTCTCCCTCACTTCTTTTTAGGCATGATGTAAATTCTTAGAAGCAGCCTGCAGATAGACAAAGGTTAATTCTGCAGAGAAATGAATTGCCAAAGTCTTGTTCTTATCGCAAGTTTTGATTTAGGGAAACAACGTGGGTTTTTCTTTCCTTTGCAAAGTTCTTTCCCATCTCTACCGGAGGCAGACTGTCGGCACTGCTCCATGCGTGGGCCACAACTACTGGCAGGATTTGATTTTAGTCTACCCTTCTTACAAGGCAGGAGATGGGTTCTGTTTAGTATGTGTGTGACCTCTAGCAAAGGAGGCTTCGATCACCACCCCAGCCACATACAAAGGACTGACTGTAAAGCCAGTGTTCAAGAACCAGCTGACTGTTCTTAAATAAGAGCTCCTGTGGTGGGTACATTTATGAAATATCACAAGGTCACAAGAGTCACCCTCAATTCAGGTGTGCTATGTTCCAGCTGTGAGCCTCTGGTTGTCTCTGGCTGGCTTGTAAGGGAATGAGCATTCATTTCAAAAGGTTTCCAGGGTTCCTATGTGTTCCCCTGTAAGCATGTTTCTATAGAACATAGGAGTGTTTGGTAGGTATTGGGGTGTTTACTTATTCACCAAAGAGATACTGAGTACCTACTGTGTGCCAGGAGCAGTTCCACACAGCAGTGGACAAGCAGAATGTTCCTGTGTGTTATAAAGTGCTTGCATTACATGCAGCACAAAGGCTAGAGGAGTGAAATCTACTCAGTGGGCCAGGTGTGGTAACAGATGTCTGTAATTTCAGTTACTCAGGAGGCAGAGGAAAGGCTTAGTAAAGTCAATGAAATCCTTTCTGAAAAATAAATGATAAAAAAAAAAAAGAACAAGGTTAGAGCAAGCTCAAGGACCTAAGTTCAATCTCCAGAACTGCCAAAAAACAAAAAGGAAGAAAGAAAGAAACAGAAAGGAAAAGGAAAAAGAAAGGAAAGAAAGGGGAAGGGAAGAAGGGAAGGGGAGGGGGAGGTGGAAGGGGAGAGGAAGGAAATCCACCTACCAGGATATGCATCTGGCTTTCCAGCTGTGATCTTCATTAATCCACATAAAGCTGCCCATGAATCCTGTCATAGTGCTGGCCTTTAAAACTGCTGTATTTTGTCAGGAAGGAGGAAAACTGAGCATGGCAGTGCATGCCTGTCATCCCAACACTTGGGAGGTTGAGGTAGGAACACTACAAGCTTAAAGTCAGCCTGGTCAACAAAGCAACACTGTTGCAAAGAAAAAAGAGGAATGAAAGGAAGCCATAAGGTAAAAGGGCAACATAAAAAATATGGAAGATGATTCAGGATTAGGCTGAGGAAAGAAAGAAATCACCGTGGTGATAGGAAAGAATGCTTATATGAAATGAGTGGTCTGTGAAGACTTCCTTAATGGTTAGCACTTGAGCAGAGACTGGAGGCACAATGACCTAGTCACTGAAAAACTGGAGGTCCAAGGTACTCAGGGTCAATGGGGTGACTGCGGGAGTTGTATTTGGGCCTCCAGGGCATTTACTTGAAGAAAGGGAACTTCTTGGTAAAGGATTTGCACTTTCTTCCTCCTCATGACACTGTCCTTCTGCTCTGGACTCAATCAATTCCTTGCTATTCATGGCGAGCAGACCTTCCTTGGGTGTTGTCAATACAACTAATAGTGATGCTGTCAGAAATATCCAGCAATCAAGCCCCCCCCCCGCCGCCCCCCCACCCCCCACCCTGCAAGCCCCGCTGCCCTTGGAACGTGTTGATGTTTGTTGAAGAACCTTCCTTTGCCAAAGTTCAGTTGCACTATCAAGTTGGTTTGTTCTGTGCCTTATATTTTTACCTGCTCAAGTGTTTGTTCATAGCTACAGAAGGTAAAGTCCCTGGGTTGAGAGGCTGTGATGACCCCAGATCCATGCTGTGGGTTTGGTTGTTAGTTTGCTTTGTTGTTTGATACACTAGTTAATTCCTATGACAAAAAGAAAATTGGAAAATTCAAAGCCACTGTCCTAGGCTGCTGGATGATAATCTAATGTTTTAAGCACCTGGAGCAGGGACTAGTTTAGCATCTCAGGCAGCTTAATTGCATGCTGCCCTACTGTACACATGTGAACCGATCCATAAGAAAAATGTATCCTCAGCAGTGTCCTTGTAGATAGAGTAAAATTTATAGAAAATTCCATTCAGTGAGGAAGATCTCACATTGCATTCCAAAGTCATTAATTTAAACTTTCTCTTAGAGCATTCCTGTTATTAAAATCTACCCCCTCAGACTATCTGGAGAGAGAGTGTCTCCCAACTGCACTGATCTCTTCCCTACTACATTATGGAGAATCTTCTGTGGCCCAAGTCCCCTTCCAAATCTTGGGCTCTAAACCACCTCCAGACTCTTATACCAGATAGGGGCGGGGAACAAGGATTTGAACTTGGAGCCTCAATGCTTGCTAGGCAGGTGCTCCACCACTTGATCCATACCTCAGCCCCCCAACAGCTCTATATAGAACACAATTATCTCCACATGCTTTCCTGCCATATTCAGTGTGCTCAGTATAGCAGACACACATTGAATAGTGAGCCAAAGCAGAGCAGAGCAATCAATGACATACGAAGCTATGGGAAAAATCACAAAGGGGGAGAGATACATTTGGAGGGTTTTATTTGTTTGTTTTTACTTTTTGGCAGTACTGGGGTTTGAACTTGGAGCCTCAATGCTTGCTAGTCAGGTGCTCTACCACTAAGCCACACCTCTAGTCCATGTTTTATTTTGTTTATCCTGTCACTGGGGCTTGAACTAAGGGCCTGGGCACTGTCCCTTAGCTTTTGTGCATGAGGATGGCACTCTACCACTTGAGTTACATCTCCACTTCTGGCATTTGGGTGATTAATTGGAAATAAGAATCTCATAAACTCTTTCTGCCCAGGCAGGCTTCAAATTCTGATCCTCAGATCTCAGCTACGATTACAGACACAAGCCAGCGGCACCCAGCTAGAGAGATGAATTGTTTTTCTCCCTCCAGCTGCTTGAGATCTCCTCTACTTTTCTGTTTTGCAGATCCAGTGGTGAGCCTACCACTAAATAGCAAAACAAGTCTCTTCAGCTCTGGATTTGCAAGAAAGTGGTCACTCCAGACTATGTTCAACAGTTACTAACTGTTAAATGTTCATGCAAATGAGGAGTAAGACCTTTTTTTTTAAAAATATAAGTTCTATGTATCCCTGGCTGGACTCCAGCTTGTAATCCTCCTGCCTCAGCCTCCTGAGTGATGAGATCACAGGCCAGCACAACCACACTTGGTAACAAACCACTTCTTATCCAGGTATTTTTATGGCTGAGAAACTTGTCCAGTACCAGAAACTAGTATCTCCTGGACATCAATTAGTGACTGCTCCCCAGTTCCTCCTTCCAACAGTGGCTTTTAAAACTTCATTTTGAAGGCTGGAGGTATAACTCAGTGGTAGAGTGCTTGACCTGCATGTGCAAGGCCCTGTATTCCATCCCTGAACAGTAATATTCACAGAACAATATGTTGGAAATGAATTTTACTACTTGGGGGGGAGGGGAGTTGGGAAGGAGGGATAGTGGAAGAAAATGAGGGAGGGGGTAACAAGTTTGGCAAGAATTGTACTCGTTTCCTTACTTCCGTAACTGTAACTCCTCTGTACATCACCTTTACAATTAAAATTGGAAAAAAAGAATTTCTAAAACTTTCTTGCCAAAAGCCAAAAGTATTTGTCTTACTTCCCTACCTCGCAGCCTTAGTGAGTTGAACCAAGTTCTCTCTCTATCTCTCTATCTCTCTCTCTGTCCCCAAGATATGTAGAATTGAGCTCTGAAGACTGAGTGAGTCCTGAAAGGTTCCGGAGGCCTGTGTATCTAGACAAGGCACAGAGAAGAAACTCAGAAGAAGAGAGAGAAGAAGCCCCGCAGAAAAGAGAGATCATGTGGTAGGGGACACAGAAGGTTCCCTGTAATTTCACAGTTCCTACAATGCTGCTACTTTCTGCGATGAGATTCCTCCCGCAGCTTTATTCCTGAAGCAACTTCAATTGTCCTTTGTGTATGTGTGCGTCTGACCTGTACTCCAAACTGCCCCTGCCCACCTATGCTTTCCCATCAACTTAGAAACAACCTTCCTTCCCTGTGTGCCCCTGCACCTTGTACCAGGACCCTTCCCAACACACTGAATTGGAATCTGTCTTTTACAGATTTCTTCTTTCCCATGCTGAGAGCACACTGAAGTCAAGCTCTGTGACTGTGTCCCCATCTCTCTACCTAACTCAGCACTGGGGGCATCGTAAATGCCTGATAAATGTTTGTTGGATCAAATTAGGAACAGTGTCATCTACAGAACAAAATCATGTACATATTGATTTGTTCTAAATCTTATTTACCACAGGAGACCAGGAGTCCACAATCAGCTTAGAGCTCTGCATTTATAACTTTCACCAATCACAAATCGCTTTGGGGTCTCTTTTCAAAAAGAGAAATCCAGTCCATTAATGAGCTCACTGCCTTGGTGGAACCAGATCTCCCTCTGCGGGGGCCTCTGAGTGCATGTGCAGGTGAGGCCCTGCACGCAGGACCAGGGCAGGCACTCATGTCTTCATGACTGAATAAGCCTTGGGCTCGTCTCCTCAGACTAAAAGAATCACAGTTAGATGCGCTGGCTATTTATCTCTTGTGTTCTCTTCCAATTACAAGGGTAAGTACAACTGGAGATGATTCAAAAATTACTTTGAGTATCCACCTACTCAAAATGGAATCCATTTGCCCACATCATAATTGTGCTCCATCTGCGCTGAATCCCTTTACCCAAAGCTGGTAACAAGTTACACAGGACATGCATTGCAGGCTGCCAACCACATCCTTTTTGCCACATAAAATATTATTTGTGGCAAAAGCAAGGGATTTTTTTCTCCTATAGGCTATGTAGTTCACCATACTGACACTGATGCAATTTTATAAAGCAAAAAAGAAAGCTAGCTGAATGATGTGGCTCGTGCCTATGATACCATCTACTCAAGAGTCTGAGATAGGGAGGATTGTTGTTTGAGGCCAGCCTAGGCAAAACATCCTTGCGGCCTCCATCTCAAAACACTAAAAAGCTGGGTAGAGTGGCTGCACCTGTCAACCCAGCTATGAGAGAAAGTATAAAACAGCAGTACTGCACAGCCAACATGAAGCCAAAAGCAAGACACTATTTAAAAAAAAAATAACAAAAGCAAGAAGGGATTGAGGTGTGGCTCAAGAGGGAGAGTACCTACTTTGCAAGCTCTGAGTTCATGACCCACTTCTTCTGAAAATAAAATCACCAGGAGATGTAACTTGCTCCTGTACTCCCAGCTACACAGGAAGCTGAAACCTGGAAGACCACAGTTATAAAGCCAGTCTAGGTATAAAAGTCCATGAGAATCTACCTCCAAAGTAAAATCAAGCCCGTGGTGTAGCTCAAGTAATAGGTGCAAGCTGAACAAGCAAGCCAAGCAAGCAAGAGGCTCTGAGATGAAACCCTAGTACTGACAAAAATAAAATAAAAATAAAGATAGAAAATGAAAGTTCAACTCAGAAATTAAAAATGATAGGGTTAACATAGAGCAAAATTCCTTATCTTTTAAAATAATAATGAAACATTTGCATCAACATATGGTTTGAAAAGCCTTGGATGTTGCTCAGCTCAGTAAATAATTAGAAACAATATGGACAGGGGTTGTTTATGATCACCTACCCTCAAATATTTGAAAACAAATTAATCAAAGGAGTGCAGTGTGTTTTACGCTGTGCTTCTTCTTTGGGTGAATCCACAAAGAAGTTTTAACATTTATATGTGTCAACTATTGAAGATATTCACATTGTTGTATGCATGTATTTTCTGTAACTGCAGAGGAGTTAATTCTGTCTTAAACTTGGCTAATCCAGAATTAGCTATCTTGCCTACTAAGGCACTTGATCCCCATGAGCCCTTTTCTAGAATGGAATTCTTACACTGAACCTAGTGGAGCTTTGAAAATGTTTCCCCAGCTCAATTAAATTAGCATCTTGATGAGTGAGACTCTGTCTATGGTATTTTTCTAAAGCTCTTTAGATGAGTCTAACATATATCCTAGACAGAGAGTCACTAGCCTCAGAAATAGTTGGAGAGTATAAGTCATCTGCACTTCCAAAACACAGATCAGAAACCACTGGATCTAGGTGAGCACAATACAGGTGTGCTAACAAGGACCAAGTTTGGAGAAAGCACTGTGAACAGAGATGAGAAACATCTCTATGTACATTTGGGGGCTTACGCTGATACAAGGCAAATACCACAGTGAGTACTTCCCATACTCCAAATCCACAAAGCACTGTCCACAGTAAGCCAATGTTAGTTTGGTCAGAGGTTAAAGGAAAGGCTGCAGGCTGGGCTGCTGTCCATTTTAGAGATGCTGGTAGGTTTTAGGGGCTGCTGGAGTGGCATATAAACAAGTTTCCATTGGGGCAACTAGCGTACTGGTCCCGCCTGGTTAGAAGTATCTATTATGCTAATTACCTTAAACTCTTCTCCCTCCTTATTTCAAGTTGCTACCTAGAACACATGTAATCATGCCAGCCTTCAAGCAGAAAAAGCAAAAGTTTGTAAAGTCAGGATAGGACTTTGTGTTCTTTCAACATAAAATATGGAAATTAAGTAATAAATATTTATTCAGTTGGTTAACAGTTATGACATGGCCACTGTAAAGAGAAAGCGAAATGTGGATCCTTCTACTGAAGTAAAAGAAATAACCCCCAGAAGAAAATTTTAGGCCGAAACTTATTTTTTTTCTTTGTATTTTTTTATTGTGAAAATACCATACAGAGGGGTTACAATTACATGGGCAAGGGGCTGGGAAGGTGGCTCAGTGGTAAAGCACTTGCCTTGCATGCATGAGGTCCTGGATTCGATTCCTCAGCACCACATAAGAAAAAAGAAAAAAGCCGGAAGTGGCGCTGTGGCTCAAGTGGTAGAGCACTAGCCTTGAGCTGAAGAGCTAAGGGCCAGCGCCCAGGCCCAGAGTTCAGGTCCCACGACCGGACCCCCCCCCCCCAAAAAAAAAAAACAATTACATGGGCAAGGTAATGAGTTCGTTTCTTATCAAGCATTGTTGCCTCCTCCTTTGTTTCCCCTTCCCATCCCTGTCCCCTTCCTCCTTCTCTCCCCCACCCCCACCAAAATTGTAAAGTTTGTTTTTCAACATAATGTCTTGTACATCTCATTGTTGCAATGGGTCCACCTGTATCCCTATTTAAACAATTGTTTTTTCCCTTCCCCTCCACAAATTATACCAACATAAATACAGTGAAAACAGGGCTTATACTATGGGGGAGGGACATACAAAGCAACAAAGAAATCAACTTATAAATATGTTAGAAACAATCACAAGAAAGAAAAAAACAATGGAGTCCTTATCTTGGGGTTCATTTTGCCTAACATCAACTTATCTGACAGTTTCTGCTTGCTGAGACTTACTTTGAAGTCAAACAACTCAATGTCTACATTTCATGTATGGGAATCTAGAGATCAAAAAAGGGTTGAAACTGAGCTTCCTGATTCTCAGGCTGTGGCTCTCCATCATCTAATGCTGAAAGTATATTTCCTTGATTCCCAAACAAATGAATGGATTCGTAGCATTTCAGCATGGTGCAACAGTGGCTCCCATGGCTGGACTGGAGCAGAGCAAAGTGTAAAAAACACTGATCTCCTCCATCCAAGTCCAGAATATAAAACTAAGCATTGGTCCTAGACTGACCAAACATATTCTAGTCTGAATTCCCGACTCCAAAACTATTTGTCAATGACCTAAGAAATAATAATTCACCATCAAGAAGACAGCTCACTTCTGCAGACCCCAGTTTACTCCTTGATAAAATGGGTATAAGAGGAAATCTCACAGGATAGTTGGGAAGTTACAGTGGATGATCAGGGGATAGCAGAAGTTCTATAAAAAGTTCAGGTAGTAAATATGTCAGACTTTGCAGGTCACATGAGGTCTCTGCTTCTGCTTTTAAAACTTAAAAAAAAAAAAACTAAAACCAAATCAACACTAATCAGAGGCCACAAAGAAGCACGTCTTGGCTGTAGTTGTTCATGGCTGGTCAAGACTTCAACACTCCTTGAATGCAGGAACCAGACATGGCTCATGCTTATTCAGCACCCAGGAGAGCACCAGATGAGTGTTTGCTCAGTAAACATCTGAATGAATAACATATGTGGACTAGGATCAAAGTCTAACATGTAGACATTACTGTGAGTTTATTTTTTAATGTTATTACTGTGGGAGGCATAGTTCTAGCACTATGAGACAACAAAGGAGTTAGATAGGAGCTCAAGGAAAGTTGAAATAGCTAATTAATGATTCTGATGGGAAAATGGACAACTGTGATAAGGTTATTGTTGCAGAAAGACTATAATACCATTCCCTGGGATGCAAAACTCAGAAGTTTTGGAGAAGGATATGAACAAATTCCCATGGGTAGAACAGGCCACTTACCATTATGAGTTCCAATAATAATGAGTAATTCTGATGACTAACACAACCCTGAATGACATTAGAATAAGAACAGATATTGATAGCTCACTATGAGACAGGATAGAAGGTTGACCAGCTGCCCTGGTTCAAAGCCCACATCTCAGCATGTTTCTGAACATGCTTATGGGTAAAACTGAAAACTTCTGAAATCCACCTGAGTGCTATGATAGCATGGAGCAACTGTGGTTGTACAGGAGACCTTTTCTCCTCACTCTCACTATCACAACTTCCAATGCACACTGGGAGAACCGTTGTCAGGCCAGATTTGGGTTTAGGACCTTGGTAATCGGATCACCGAAGGAAATGTGACTTGATTTACATCTCCAAATTTATGTGATTGCCATCACATTTATTCTTCTCATCTTCATTAACAGGTAAGGAAATGGCTACAAAGGAAGAAACCATTTATTCCAAGCCAAACAGCTAAAACAGTGGAGTTAGAGCTTTTTGTCTTGTCACGAAACCATGAGGCCTGCCTAAAGAATGAAATATAAATACCTGGCATCTGTTCATTTCCCAGGAACAGGTTTTGGATGACAGGAGAATTTGAGTCAGGCAAGGAAGGCAGATGGAATGAAGATAAAACTCAAAGTTGTTTTTCTTGGGTAGAGAAACCCCAAATTTTATCCATCTAATAAACAGGTTCTTAAGGGACTTACTTGAGTACTGCAGCTTCGCTGATGATAACATCCAGCAGATTATCAGGTCCTTGTTACAGCCTGAATTTACCAAAAAATCAGTGCCAGAATTGCAACTGAAGATACGTAAAGCTGCTGTCATGAAGCATCGGGGAGAAACAGGCCTGTGCCAAAGAGACAAAGCATGTCACACTCTCTCATTTGGAATAATTGGCCATGTCTGTTAAATGTAACCTCTACATTCATCATGCTGGATAGGCTATTTCAAGTACAGATGCAAGTCTTCGGTCTATTTCATTCAAGTCTTCCACCCTGATCAATAAAAAGATGTATACGGTGCCTGTGTGTCTGGCTTTTTTTTTTTAAAGGCAAGCAAGCAAGCAATGACCTCAGTGAATACAAACTGCTTGGATTTCTCTGAGTACCTCAAAGGCCTGAGTAAACCAAGCAGGTTCATGTCTGTGATAGATTTCTGCTGTCCAATTTAATATTTAATATTTTAATATTTAATCCTAAAGCTGTGTGTTCCATTTCCTATGTTACAGAATATTAAAAGGGGGAGCTATTTAAAAAACTTAAGTGTTTTAGTTCAGGAAGACAGCACAGCCTTTCCTAAGTGACAGTTGCCTCTGGGAGTCTTCCTTTATTTGTTTGTGGAAAAAGATTTATTTCTTTAAATCTTTATTATTAATGCTACCTAGTATTTATATAGTGCCGGGTATGCTGAGGAGTATACTGGGTGAGTGACCTCAACTGTCTTTATGGACTTCACTGTCAGGAAGAGAACTGGACTTTTTCCTTCCTACAGATGGGGGAATGGAGATGTCGAGAGACCGGATAAGTTTCCCCAAGTCACTGACCAAATCAATTTTGGATTTACTCCAGGTTAAGCAGCCCCAACCTATGTGTGTTGGCTGCAAGATTCAAACCTCTCCCTCAGAAGGCCAGAGGATTGTCTTGCCCATTGTTTGTTTGTGTTCATTCATCACCCTTGACCTAAAGAAGGACTGATGTGAGATGGAGACACACTCTTGACTGCAAGCTGCTCGCTCACACTTGCATTCACTGATAAATACGTATTATGTTCTCAGGGAGAGCTTACACTCTCTTAGGCTGTGTGGTGGTTTCCCATTGCTTCTGGAAAACATCCAATGATGTCAGAAGTCTTAAAAGCATGGTGTCAGCAGGGCTGTACCTCTTGTGTGGGGTTTGTTTGTTTTGTAGTAACAGGGCGTGACCTCTGGGTCTGCGGCATTTGCCCCCTTAGTTATTCACTTAGGCTGGCACTCTACCACTTGAGCTGCATGACCTCCACTACAGGATTTTTGTTGGTAAAATGAAGAGTGAAATGTGAATAGTTGAGTCTTTCTCTCTATCTCTTTTTCTCTCTTTTTGCCTCCCTCCTCCCTTCCATCCCTTCTTCTCTCCCCCTCCCACATTGTTGTTTATTGGTTGAGGCTGGAACTCAGAGCCTGGGCACTGTCTCTGAGCTTTTTTGCAAAAGGCTTAGTGCTCTACCACTTTGAGCCACATCTCCACTTCTAGTTTTCGGGTAGTTCATTGGAGATAAGAGTCTCACAGACTTTCCTGCCAGGACTGGCTTCCAATCGCAATCCTCCCATCTCAGACTCCTGAGTAGCTAGGATTACAGGAATGAGCCACCAGCACCAGGCTCGTTGCTCTGTCTCTCTGTCTCTGTCTCTTGTCTCTGTCTCTCTCTGTCTTTCTCTCTCTCACACACACACACCATACACAGTCATTAATGCACACACACTGACATGAACACTGGCATGTGCGCATGTGTGTGCGCGCACACACACACATACACACACACACACACACACACACACACACACACATCACTCACACTGATTAGAAGTTCTGTGGCTGGGATCCATCAGCTCAAGAACTGCCGCCTCAAGGACCAAAACCAATCTATTGAGGTAATCCCAAATGTCAGCGCCTGTGCAGCAAGCCTGCTTTATCCATGGATTTATTACACACGCTTTTGACTAAGCATGGTGAAAACTAAAACAAAAAAATTAATCAAAAGAAATTTCAAAAACAGACACTTTAAATGTCCACACAGGCATTGTGCAGCTCAGCTGACATAGAGAAGCTGCGGGAAGTCCTGTGTTACCTTCCACTGTGATCTGCCAGGTGTCTCCTTGCCTTGCTTTTGTGAAAATATGCCCCCTCACAAAACAAAAAAAAAAAAAAATCAGTGCCCAAAAATCAAAGTAAAAGTGAATGTGCTTTAACTGAAGTGCTAAGGTGACCATTTGAGATGTGTGGAAAGGTAGCCTTATGGGAAAGGTGGGCAGGTGGCATTATGGGAAAAGGAATCTAGCATCTGCCATAAAGTGCTAAACTCCATTTACTCTGAGCATTTGCAGCATTTCCTCAGAAATATTTTGCACCATATGTATACACCCACTGATACCAAGAATCTATAGGACCTATTTTCTTCTTGGTCCTTTCTATTTCTTTCAGAAAGTCTTGTGATCTTCTTTGACCTAGGGGATAGAAAGATTTAGGCTCTTCAGCAACTCCCATGCCTCCATAACCATTGCTCACTGTGTTGATAATTCCAGATAAAGAGCCATCCTGGTCCAGTTTCTTTAGATCCTCACATGCTATTCCCTGATTGGCATGGAGGATGGAGGTGGGTAGGTACCTGGGAATCTAGCTATCAACTAACCCTCATGTTATGAGCATACCCCTTTGCTCACTTTATCTGAGGGCCCGGGTGCTGCCTCCAGTTACTGAAGCGGTCTAAGGTTCTGCGATTCAAATCACTTTGCCTTTTGTTTCTGTCTCCCCCTGACAGATCTGTAGATGTTGGTTGGCTTCACTCTGTGACTTCAGTTCCCATTCATTGATCCACACACCATTGCTCAAAACTTGTTGACATACCTTATCCATTTTGTGTCTCCTCTCTTGTTCTAGTTTCCGTATCTCTTCCTGCCTTCTATTTATACCATTTCATCCCATCAGTGCATTTAAGTGGGAGTCTTCAGGGAGGAATATGGGGAGATAAATGGAGGGGCTCAGCCTGAAGTGCTTAGCCTGGAGTCCACTAAGGATGAGAGGTATTCATTCCATGAGAATCTGCATGTGGTAACACTGGGAAAAATACAGAGAACGTGTCTGTCTGAGAAGGTCTGTTTGAGATGCTACGTCCAAGGATCCATTTCCTAGACTAAAAGAAGGTATCTCTGGCCACCTGACCCCTAAAAAGTAGGTGATAAGATCTCCTCCAATCTCATGTCTCTTTGCTCCAAGATTCCATCATTCTCAAAGCCTATGCTTTTCCCAAGCACCTGTTTCTCAGCTCAGAATGGGCTGCCCAGCAGGGCCTCAAATTCCCATGCACCATTTTCCCTCCCATCAAATACAAAGGAGAAAATCTTTCAAAAGCCTCCGACCTATAGTAGAGATGCACTAACCATCAGAATTATAGAGTGAACCCAACTCCACATGGAACTCCACATGGCAAGACACATTTCCTTGTTCACTACATCATGCTGCCTGTGGTTATATGTCTTTAGTATAAACACAAAGCCAGAAGTGACGGGGATCTTTTACATATCCTCCTAGAAGAGACAAGGGAATCACTACACTTGATGCAAAAGGAAGAAGGTCTGCTGCTAGCAGCTCAGAGTCCTCATAAATAATCATTAATAGAATGTGTAAGATTTGTGCTTGGGTTCTACCTCCTAAGACATAAATAAGATATAAGGCTACCAGGAATGAGACAAGGATGTCCACTCTCTCCATTTCTCTTCAATCTAGTATTAGAATAGCTAGCTACAGCAATAAGACAAGATGCAAACATAAAAGGGATCCAAATAGGGAAAGAAGAAGTAAAACTCTCCCTCTTTGCAGATGACATGATCTTGTATTTAAAGAATCCCATAGACTCCACTTCCAAATTACTCAAGCTGATTCAAAACTTTGGCAAAGTAGCAGGGTATAAAATTAACCCTCAAAAAATCAATGGCTTTTCTATATGCCAACAATGAGAAAAGTGTGGCTGAAATTAGGAAAACAACTCCATTCGTAATAGCCCCACAAAAAAATAAAATACCTAGGAATTAACTTAACCAAAGAAGTGAAGGACCTCTATGATGAAAACTTCAAAAACTTGAAAAAGGAAATCAAAACAGAACTTAGAAAGTGGCAAAAAACTCCCATGCTCCTGGATTGGAAAGATCAACATCGTGAAAATGGCAATACTTCCCAAGGCTAGCTACAAATTCAATGAGATATCTATCAAAATTCCAACCTCATTCTTCAAGAAAATAGAAGAGGCAATCCAAAAATTCATATGGAACAATAAAAGACCACGAATAGCAAAAACCATCTTCAACAGAAAGAACGGTGCTGGAGGAATATCAATGCCAAATTTCAAGCTCTACTACAAAGCCATAGTAATCAAAACAGCTGGGTACTGACACAAGAACAGACCTCAGGACCAATGGAATAGAATTGAAAACCCAGAGATGAACCCACAGACCTATAGCCATCTAAATCTTCAAAAAGGGAGCTAAAAAAAATAGAATGGAAGAAAGACAGCCTCTTCAGTAAATGGTGCTGGCAAAATTGGTTAACTACTTGTAGAAAACTAAACCTAGATCCTTATATATCACCCTGCACCAGAATCAACTCCAAATGGATCAAAGACCTCGGAGTCAAAGAAAACACTCTGAAAACATTACAGGATGGAATAGAATAAACCCTAGGTCTCCTTGGCTCAGGCTGAAATTTTCTTAATAGAGACCCAGAAACACAACAAATCAAAGAAAGGTTGGACAAATGGCATTGCATGAAATTTCAGAGCTTCTGCATGGCAAAGGACATAGCTAGCAAGATCAATAGAAAGCCCAAGGATTGGGAGAAGATCTTCACTAGCCATACAACAGACAAGGGTCTCATATCTGAAATATACCTGGAACTCAAAAATTAAATCCCCCAACAACAAATCCTCAAAGAAGCAACAGCCCAATAAGTAAGTGGGCTAAAGAGAAACTTCTCTGAAGAGGAAAGAAGGATGGCCAATAGATACATGAAGAAATGCTCAACCTCCCTAGCCATAAAAGAAATGCAAATTAAAACAACATTCAGATACCACCTCACCCCAGTTAGAATGGCTATAATCAAGAACTCTAATTAAACAACAGATGCTGGAAGGGATGTGGACAGAAGGGAACCCTACTGCATTGTTGGTGGGAATGTAAACTTGTTCAACCTCTTTGGAAAGCAGTATGGAGGTTCCTCCACATAGAGCTCCCCTATGACACAGCAATCCCACTTTTGGGCATTTATCCAAATGACCACAAACAAGACCATACTAAAGCTACCAGCACAACTATGTTTATTGCAGCATTATTTACCATAGCTAAGATATGGGATAACCCAGATGCCCCTCAGTAGATGAATGGATCAAGAAAATGTGGTATATATACATAATGGAATTCTATGCCTCCATCAGAAAGAATGACATTGCCCCATTTGTTAGGAAATGGAAAGACTTGGAAAAAAATTATATTAAGTGAAGTCAGTCAGGCCCAAAGAAACATAGGTCTCATGGTTTTTCTTATTTGAAATAACTAGTATATGTCTGAGTCAAGCAGAAAAGGTCAGATAAGTTGATGGTAGGTGAAATTAACCCCAAGATGAGGATTCAAATGTTGTTTCTTTCATGCAATTGTTTCTAACACATTTATGAGATAATTTCTTTGTTGCTTTGTATGTCCCTCCCCCACGGTATAACCCGTTTTCACTGTATTTGATGTTGGTATAATTTGTGGAGGGGAAGGGAAAAAACAAATTGTTTAAATAGGGATACAGGTGGACCCATTGCAACAATGAGATGTACAAGTGGATATGTCAAAAAACGAATTTTACAACTTTGGCTGCGGGGGGGGGGGGGGGGGGGGGAGGGGTGGAGGGTGGGAGATGGGAAGGGGAAACAAAGGAGGAGGCAACAATTCTTGATAAGAAATGTACTCATTATCTTGCCCATGTAATTGTAACCCCTCTATATGGTATTTTCACAATTTAAAAAAAAGATATGAGGCCACGAGGGAAAAAGGATGCCTGCATATGCCATTTCATTCCATCCGCCCAGTGGGTCTGGGGCACGTTGTTTATTCTCATCTTGCAGATGAGATCATAGAGGTGAAAATGGCCTCAGTATAAGAAACTCAAGTTACACATAAAGATCACATGGAGAAGAAATGAGGTATTCTGATACCTGGCACCAGCTAGACTCGAGATGACAACCAGTGCCAACTCAAGAGTAGGGGCAACTGGTCCATCCAGCCCAGAAAAGGCCCTCAGGTTATTGGTATCCATCAGTATCAGTCAGCACCAGGTGCAGCAGAAGAACCACCGAACTGAGCTCAATCAACCCACAGAACCACAAGACATGGAAGAACAGTTGCTGTTTGAAGAACCAAATATTGGGGAGAAGCAAGAGACAGCTCCAAACACTGTTGCGTCTTAGAGAAAATGACTCCAGTCCTTGTGATTTCAACACCAGTTGTCTTTTTAATTAGAATAACACCAAGGGTGGAAAATAGCTGGAACCCTAGGAATGAAAGCATATAAAAGCACATCACTGGAGAACCAAGCAACACGTTAAAAAAAATACACAGTGCTAGGCCCTGATGGCTCATGCCTATAATCCTAGCTGCTCAGGGGTCTGAGATCTGAGGACTGAGGTTCGAAGCCAGCCCAAGCACAAAAGTCCATGAGATTTCTTATTTCCAGCTAACTACCAAAAAGCCATAAGTGGAAGTTATGACTCAAGGGGTAGAGTGTTAGCCTTGTACAAAGAAGCTCAGGGACAGTGCACAGGCCTTGAGTTCAAACCTTAGGATTTGCATGTGCACAAACACACGTGCACACGCAAATATACACACAACACACAGATGCATACACACAAACACACACATACTCCAAAAACAAAAAACAAACAAACCCCAAGCCCCCACAATTCTAGCATGAGAAGCAAGAGCTGAGACTCACTCTGTTGTGGGAGTAGGAAGCATGAAATATTCCTGAAGGGCATCCTGGTAATAGGTATTAGATGTCTTATAAACACTCATGCCTTTGGAGCAGAGATTTAGATTAATGGCATTTCTCCTTAGAAACCCTACAGCAGGCACGTGCACTAATGGTTTTCTATGAAAATGTTTAACCCAGTACTCCCTAAAATGGCCCACAGAGAGAAAGGGGAACAACCTGCACAATAGGAGATCTACATAATAAGTGGTAGTACAGTCACATAACAGATTAGCCCATCATCTCTGAAAACAGCACAGTGGAAGTCACGTTTTTGTCCTCGTGGTATTGGGGGTTGAACTTGCGAGGCAGGCACTCTACCACTTGAACCACACTCCCGGCCCTTTTTGCTTTGTTTTTCAGGTCTTGAGTTTTTGCCTGGGCTGGTGGGGCCTATGAGCTTCCAGCTCAAGCCTCTTCAATAGTGAGATTACACATGTTCCTCTACTCTGCCTAGCTTGACTTTGCCCTTCCTGACCTCAAACTATGATCCACCTGATCTCTGTCTGCACCTGGGATTACAAGATTACATTAGCTTTAATGGCACAGGAATGCATTCAGTGTTAAGAAGACTAACGCCGTATGTGAAACCATCCAGTTTCCCTGGTTTTTGGTCAGTATGCACAGCAATAAGAACAATGTAAGACAATGTACCAATACCAAGAACAATACCAATACCAAGGCAAAGATGAGTCAGTGGCATGATTCATTTACTCTAGGCCTTTTTAATAATCACCGAGTATTTTTTCAATAAATGTGATTAACATACAAAAGTAACCCATTACCACAAGCTTATATATTATTTTTTAAATGAGTAACATTGGTATTTCCAAGATGGCAAAAAGGATGGCTAGGCCACTCTGAGATTGTCACATATAAACTCACCAGATACTTCAGGGGTCCACTTTAGCCATTATTTTGGATGGAAAGGGCCCTGGGTCTCTTGCATTTTGTTGTTGTTGTATTTTAGCAGTAGCAGGACTTAAACTGAGGGCCTTGTGCTTGCTATGCAAGTTCTTTACTACTTTACTACCCTACCCTTTGCTTCAGTTATTTTTCCCATAGGGTCTTGTGCTTTTGCCCTGGACTTGCAGTCCTCCTACACATGCCTCCTTCTTAGCTGGGATGCCATATACAATACCACATCCAGCTTTTTAGCTGAGGTGAGGTCTCAGCTAACCTTTTGCCCAGGTTGGCCTCCAACCATAGTCCTGAGATTACAGGTGTGAACTACCACATCCAATCTCATGAATGTTTCTTTAACTGCATAATTTCAAGCCACTTCCAGGCTATCTCCAAGGATCTTACTACCACATCAGTCTCCAGCTTTGTTCTGCCATATGCATTAGGCAAGATATTCCAGGGTGTTCTCTGCAGGAGATTGACCAAGTGAGCATTCCGTTTTGTTGTATCCTGGAAGCAATGAGCTCTCTGGGGATTCCAAACACAGAGAGCCTTCTGCTCTCTGCGCGCAGGAAGCAGAGCTTTCCTGCATTCTAAAGTGACCCTCCCACAATTAGAAATGAGACTTGCCAGCAGGCGCTCTATCTCGGTGTGAGCAGCAGACAATAGCCTTTGGCTCTCTCTAACAAGATCAGCGAGCCAGGCTCTTCAAATTGGCTAAATTTATATTGCACACTAGACCCTGTGAATAAATAACAAAGAAATTCTTTTGTTGGCTAGAAAATAATCTATACAAATTCCATTTCAGTAATAGTCTCTCGACAGGCATGCAAGTACCGGCAGGCAGGAGCCAAATCAGAGGCCAGGCAGGGACAGGATCTTGAAGCTAGGAGTGTTCATAATGAATCGCTACACCTGCTGCCTCTCAAAGTAGAATTGACTGGATAAAAATTTAGTTCACAGGAGTCATCCTGTGTGTGTTTTCCAGACCTAAAGATTTAGGTTCTATTTTCCTGGAGTCTGGAAGATGCTTTGAATTTGTAGTGAGGTAATAAGCTCTAGTCTGGCATAAGGCAGTTGCAAATTCTGAAAACTAAACAAATCAGATGGGATGATAGGCCTTGAACACTTCAGCTATTCATAGCCTCTGATGTCACAAAACAGATCCCTCTGACATCACAAAAATCCCTCTCCACACTAACGGAAGCACAAGGCAAGTTTATTCATGCATGTAACTGAAACATTCGATGACTACAGACATAGCTTGATCAAAAAGCTAAAATGATGGTAACCAGATGTAATATATTTGTCTTTAAAGTGCTACATGATTCAGCACATTCTGAATTCATTTCTCCCTTGACCCTTTCTTCCAGTAATGGTCAAAACTTAACTGTCATGCACTTAAAACGTGCAGTCCTGGCTTCAAATTCCCTGTGAAAAACGCAGGGCTATCTTTCCCTGAAGGTAAAGGCAAAAGATTACATCACACCTTACTAGCTCTACTTAAGATGAAGTACCCATCTCTGAGGCAAATGCTCAGATCTGAGAATGAGCCAAGGACATGAATCAAACCTGGGTCTCACTTCCAAAACACAGGGCACAGAGGGGGCAGAGAATACCACAGGCATGAAGGGGCCAAAACAAACTGGGGATGAAAGAAACTCTTCTAAAAAACCTGATTTTAAAATAGATAAATAAGGAAGGATGGAGGAGATTAATCTCAAATTAAAACAGACTCAAGAGATATTTCAACTTCATGGCAGTTCATGGACTTAATGTAGGAGCAACTTGATCCAATGTAAGTTAGGACATACATATCAAGAAACCCCTGGATGCACAACAGTGGACAATAACCTCTGAGACTCAGTTTCTTAATGGATAAATTGATCATCAAAGTAACAACTGATTCACAAGGTTGCTTCAAAGATCTACTAAGTCATGAACATAGTACTTAGAATGGTGCTTCATGCCCAGAATGCAATTTATCTTCTTAGGTAGATGATTCATGGGTGTCTTCATTTTCAGTGAACATCTGACATCAGAACTCTGAAACCAAAGACCAGATGTTTCTGAGGATGGTTTTTTTTCAGTATTCCAACTTCTTGAGCCTCACTGAGCCTGGAGGAACAATCCCTGCTAGGGTTAGCCAGTTTCTAGAGACAGGAAAAGATTCACCTGCAAAAGTGCCTTTCATATGCAGACCAGCCAATCCAGAGTCCAAACTCTCAGCCTCTACTTTGCTGGGCTCTCACACTGTAGCCACTCTGCACCTGCTCTTATCACCTCACAGCCAGGGAGGTAACGGACCAAGAGAGACAGCCCCCGGCCCACAGAGCCTGAGGCTCAAACTAGCTGCTTGCCCTTCCAGCAGAAAGCATAGTAAAGTTCCTCCTTCCGTCCCTGTTTCCTGCCTAATCCTGGTCATTCCTCCCTATGTCCCTGCAAGACACACACTCTGACTTCTGACTCCAGGAACCTGATGTAAAACCTCTTCCTTCATGTAAGCCATTTCCTTGTCTTCATGTGTACTATCCGACAAAAACAAGCAGAAACTAGCTCTGACCTATATCAGCAGAAAAGACAACAGGAAGAACATTGGCACTAGGGGTAGAACAGGCAACCAGACTTAGAAAACAAGCCACACTCAGAGTGTGGGCCCCAAGGCCCAACAGAGGTCACCTCTGAGACCCCCTGGGTGCTCAGTGGGATCCACCTATCTATGGGACACCAGTGCCACCACTGCCACTGAACATTTGATGCTTCCACTCACTGCCCAAGGTCCGCAGCAAGAGCTTCATACTAATCGAAACTGGAATTGCATTCTAGGTGCCAGAAGCTTAAATAATATTTTTGACCTCTTAGGCTTCCGTTGTTCAAGATAGGATTTCTCATTAGATATGCATAGGAAGATTCTTTCTGAAAACAGAAAGCACACTTCCACCTTGAGTTAAAAGTCAAAAGAGCACCCGAGAAGCCAAAGAGATTTGCTATGAAGATAAGTAAGCTTTTACATTGTGGTTTCTGAGCATGTTCTAATTTAGCCAACTATCTTAGCATCATAAATCATGGTATTTTCAAAGCCGGGTGAGATTGCTGGTAATTGATTTGTGGCCCATGAAGGACCAGTCAGGGGCTCTCCATCTATTCATCACCGAGCTTAGCACAACTTTGCAGATAAGCCCTTTAACTTCTTCAACATCTAATTCAATTAAAGGATTACAAGTTTTACTCTAAGACAAGAACCCTGGATTCATCAGCTTGACTCAAAGTTTCCTTATCAACCCTAAGAACATGGAAGAGGTCAGGGACCAGGAATCTTAACAAAGAGCTGCAAATAGAGGGGACTGGGTGGGAACCTTGGCAGCCGGGAAGCAGTCAGTCAGAGATGCCTTAGGGCTCAGAATATGGTCATACTTGACTCACTGCAAAAGGAAAGAAGAATCAAATTGAGGATAACATTGTGTACAGTATAATAGTGCATTTCTCCCTCTCCTTCCTACTCTTGCCCCCCAAAAAAGGTTTCCATTAAATCAGAGGTAAATTTTATGATTGATGAGATAGTTCAATAAATGTGAAATAAATATTGGTTGAGGGATATGACCTGAGGTGGGAGGAGGGTGGTAGAATCTTCCAGAGCCAGCCAGTCCCTCTCTTTGGTCTTTACCTGACACCTTACTCTGGTCTGAACTTCCTCTCTACAGAATGCATATTTGTAGGTCTCAGCTGGACTGAGCTCTCCCCTGTGAACAGACTTTGACTCAAAGAGGAAGATCCCAATGGAGACAAAAGATAGGAAGGCAAGCCTGTCAGTTTGCATTTGCCCCTTGCTTCAGCCCTGCAGTCAGTGACCAGCCGCATCCCAGGCACTGGGGACCCCTCCCTCCCTCCTGTTGGGCCTGTTACAGCTTTCACCACAGAGAAGCACAGAGAAATGGGAGATAGGACCTGCTGGGGTGTGCCACTATCCCTCGGTTCTGTCACCTGGAACACACCCAAGGCCAGGAGTCATGCGTCATCAAGAACATTCAGCTTCCCCACAAAATGGCATGCCCTTCCTTTACCCAAGTTCGCCACCCTGCTTTGCTTTCCCTCAGATTCCTATTTGGTCACTTGTGATCAACTGGTTCCTTTGGGCCTCTAGCTCATCAAGTCCTCACAAGTGCTCTGCCCATGCTGTCATTTCCCTTCCCATTTTGATGTTAGAATACAGCTTTAAAAACAGAGTCAGTATTTGACTCCATTATACTAACAAACTATTAAATGTTGGACTCAGATTCTCCTCCATATATGCTTTTGTGTTAAGTTGGTAAGTGTATTTTTTACTGTCTTTACGTAATTGTGTAAAGTGGCTTCAGTTCAACGTGTCATATTGTGAGAGTGCAACATATCTTGATCAGTGTTATTCTTTCCATTGTTCTCCCCCATCTCTCCAAACCTTACCCATCCCTTCAAGTTACTTGGTTCCATTTTCACTACCATACATTAGATATTATGACTGCATTCCCCCAACCTTCCTCTTTCCATTCATTCTTGGCCTTACCCCTAGCAAAACATGTTTCAGCTTCCTGGTATTCATTTTATAAAACTCTCCAGTTACTTGTCCAAAGGAGAAATGTTAGCATTATTGAAATATAAGTCACCTATATAATTCACCTTTTTAAAGCATACAGGTTCAATACTTTTTACTACATATTCATAGAATTGCATAATCCTCAATACATAAGTCCAGAATATTTCCACCACCTCCAAAAGAATTCTTATTCCCCTTATCACTCATTTCCCTATCCCAGGCCATGATAACACCTCTACAACTTGCCTAATGTGGCTGTTTCATTAAAACGGGGTCATATATGTTTTTCTGTGTCTAGTAGAACGCTTCCTAAGTTTCAGTGAGACAGTAGTAGCATATAGAAGTACATCATTCCCTCCCATGGCTGAAGACTATCCCAGCTTACAGATATGCCAGGTTTTGTTTATTCAATGAACATAGGAATGTCTGAGTTAGTTTGATCTCTAGTGCTATCATGAATAATACACCATGTACAAGGTTTTGGTTTGTGGGGACATATGCTTCTCACATTTTTGTAGGCATGAACTTACAGAGTTTCAGGTTTGAGGGTGAATCTATGCTTACCTTTTATGAGCAGCCAAAACAATTTCCACAGTGGTCACACCATCTTCAGACTTCTCACCAGCAATGCCTGAGGAAGCCTGTTTCCCTCATGCTCTCTAAACCTTGCTATTATCATTACATTCTCATCATCACAGCTATGAGATCACGGCTCACTG